TTTCTCTTTTTGGGGTTTTTTGTTGTTCTCCCGCCCTGGCGGGGGGTCAGGCTAGAAGATCTACTAGGTCCCTTCCAACCCTTAATCTATGAATCTATGAATCTATGAATTTATGTTGGAAACCATGGATTTTGCAGAGCACCCAAGGCAAAATACCTAAGTTTGCTGCACTTTAAAAACCCTGTTCTGTTTTCCTTGTTGGCTGTTGCTTATGCAGCAATGCAAATCCAGGTGGTGGTGGCCACCAGTTGCCCTACCAAAGTCTCTCCTGTTAAAGAAAACCAGGAGCAGAAAGGCCAGGCTGGGGCCTAATGTCTATGCATTTCCAAACCCACGTGGGACAAGATGAGGGTCCCTGCTGAGCTGCAAGCAGTTGGAAGAGGATTGCCAGCGCTGTTTGAGTCTATTCAGGGAGATTTCAGGAAAGCCAGTGTGCCCACGATGCACACAGCAAGCATGGCCCCATGCTTGCACACTGCTATGGGGTGTCGATTGATGTCAAGAAGGTAAATGCACGTGGCTATTACACTTTAAAAACCCACCGGACTACTGTACCAATTGGCTGCAACATAAATGATGGGGTATTCATTAAAATAACTATTTAATCTCCTGGGTGACTTTTGTGGATTCAACATTAATTATTTGTTGTGATGACTGACCCTGTCCTTGCTGCCCTGGATGCCTGGGGCCTTGTCTCTCATCCCTGGAGGGTCTGGGCCCGTCCAGGGGGGTGGCCACCCCCGCCGTCCTTCCCTCCTTGCTCCTTTCTGGCTGGGGGGGGCAAGGAGCATCCGGGGAGCTCTGCACCTGCCCTTGCTGGGACCTGGCAGCCCGAGGGCTGCAGCACTGGGGCTGTGTGCTGGGAGCCCCGGGGGGAGCCTGGTCCCTTCTCCTCCTCCGGCAAGACTTGGCACCCAGCCGGCAGAACCAACGGCTCCCGCCAGCATTCCCGGCCAGGCTGCATGGAGACAAAACCTGCTGACAAGCAGCACCACTGCCTGCCAGCTCACAGAGCGGGGAAAGGACTGAACAAGTGCTGCAG